TCCCAGGGGGTGACAGTAACGGTGACCCGTGCTGCCACACGTTTTATTAAGAGCTTCTCGTACTTATCTTCGCATCTTCATGTCTGCCTGCGTCACCGATCTGGTCTGCCGTTCTCCTTTTCTGGGCTGATGTCAGTAGCGAGGCATGAGGTCTATCTGTCCGTTTCTCTTGACCCCTTTCTCCCTCAGTCACTCTTTCTTGTGTCAACTGTTATGGAAACACAAACCCCCGGTTTCCATGGCAGCTACATTGTCCTGATTGCACGGGAGAGGAGGATTTGAACATATGCTGCGCTACATAGCTAGCGCTGTAAAAAACGCTGAAGCTTTGTATCTCATCTGTATCTTATCATTACACTCAGCTAAACATCATAAAGTCAGGATGTCGGCCTCATTTCTATGATATCATGAGAATTTTAAGTATTACTTGGCTGAAATACAAGGGCAGGGATTCAGAAATAGCATGTAGATCTCTTGAACACTTGCTTGAACAATGCTCATCATGTTGAGCTCAATACTTGGACATTTTTATCCCAAAACTGTTTAACAATGATGTTTTTGAAGTATTTTTTAAATAGTATATCAGTAGTCCTATCATGGATACATTGTTTTTAAAAAAAAGAAGAAAAAATGTTTTTTAGGTTTTTACATTTCATCATTGTCCTTAATGGCAGTTAGAAGCTCTGTTCCAAAACCTAGTGAGCTGCCTACCTAGACAGCTGCCTACCTAGACAGCATATTAAGAAATCATAGTCATGCTCGTGACAGGACGGTACACAAGTTTGGGGTCTGTACGATTTTTTCAAATGTTTTTGAAAGTCGTCTATTCTCAGTAGGGCTGCATTTATTTGATCCAAAATACAGTAAAACGCTAATATTGTGAAACATTATAACAATGTAATAAAAAAAAACTGTTTTCTATTTTAATATATTTGAAATGTCATTTATTCCTGTGATGGAAAAGCTGAATTTTCTGCAGCCATTACTCTAGTCTTAACTGCCACATTATGCTAATTTGGTGCTTAAGAAGCATTTCTTATTATTAATGTTGAAAAGTTGTGCTGATTAATATTTATGTGAAAACTAGGATACATTTGGGATGCAAAGAACATATAAGATTCAAAAGAACAGCATTTAGTTGATATTGAAATCTTTTGAAACATGAATGTCTTTACCGTCACTTTTGATCAATTTAATTAAGGCATCAACACATGTATCCTTCAAAGAGAAGGCAATCCCAGAATGCATTGTGACAAGCTCAGTGAAAAGCATAAAATGGAAGACAATAGATATGTGAACACATATGTTATTACGAATGTAATTTAATACTTAAAGTAGTGAAAATAGTTCAGATTTGTGTGAGTGCTGTTTATTTTTATCTTGCCATAGGCTTAGAAACATACTAAAATCAAACTCTTTTGGGATTAATTTTGAGTCGAGTCTCTCATGCTGACTCTGAGCGCTATTTGTGGAGTTGCTGGCTTTGTAGAGCACTTCAAATCTTTAACTTATGAGGTTTCCTTTCAGTTAGTATGCTGCCTTAGAAGGCAGCCGCCCATAGAGCGAGGCAGTAGACAGGAAGGTAGCTCAATGGGTTTTGGAAAAGAAAAAGTAAGTGCAGACAGTGGGCAGGATTTATCACATTTTCTGATTGGGTTTAAAATCACTTCAGTGAGAAATGACAGATGGCTTCTGCTATGAATTTGTGATCCAACAAACGGTAAAAAGGGAGGTAACTTGCAAACGCCAGGCCTGTCCAAAAAAACTTGTCGTCATTTTGAGGGAACATCTCAGAAGTTGAAACCACAAAAAAGTTTTAACTTTCCGCCGTTAACTTCCAGTGCAGTATTTGACCCGATACTGTGGAATGTCCTTGCGAGAAGGTTCCCAGGTCTGCTCTGAACCTGTGGCTGGAGGTCACTTAAAATGTATTTCAGTGGGACAGTTAGTGCTGAAACTATTCTTAGCTTGTTTGTTTGTTTTACCAAGATGGTGGGATAGTACCACACCAAACTGTTATGATCATAGGTTTTATTATTTTATTTAGCTTTTTTGTTTCTCATGCATCCTCAGTTGTTCACATAGGAGTTTTTAGGATAGTAGTGCACTTCTCAATGTGTACAACCACAAAATGTTCTAGAAGTTGTCTTCTCCGCAACACTCCTGTGTGTTCTAGCTTTAGTGAACACTGCCACCTGTTGATGGGTGGAGTTTTTAAGTGTGAATCACCTGGATTTATGAGATTTTATTGAGATTATATTGCTTGTTTGCACTGCAGTATACGAGTATGAGATTTGTACATGAATATGAGAGTTGTACATTGCCTCTGTCACAACCACAATGCTGAAATTTTGCTATATTTCAGTTATAATGTCCATTTTGCTGAAAATCTCTCTCTCTGCTAATTCTTTAAACGAATTCTGAAACTCGACTCTAATTTTCTTTCAAGTTGTTCCATTTTATTTCATATTTATTTTAATAGTTTTAGTTTACGATAAAAACTCTGTATACAGGTCAGAGTTTTAGACTGATTCAAACTGGTAAATAATTTTTTTAATGTATTGATTAAAAGAACTGGCTTATTCTGGTCATTTAATTACAGGAATCAGGCTTAAATGGTCATGCTGTACATTTTTGATTCACTAAAATGAACTGGCTCAAAAAAGTAATTTGTTCATAAATCGGACGACACTGGTTGCACAGTGTGTTTTGATTCACTAAAATGAACTGCCTCTTAAGAATAATTTATTTTGCAAATCTTTTGTTTTTTTTAGTGTGCATTATTTGCAGTTCACAGTCAGTTTATTGCATCACATCAAATATAGTAACTTTTATTTCTAATAGTTCATGTGACTTCTGATCAACTTTCTTTAAATTCAAACTATAACACTATATGTGTATCTGGTCTACAGGTTTGAACTGATGCGGATGTGCTGGCAGTACAACCCTAAAATGCGACCGTCTTTTCTGGAGATCATCAACAGCATAAAAGAGGAACTGGAGCCGCCCTTCCCGGAGGTTAGCTTTTTCTACAGTGAGGAGAACAAGCCCCCCGACACAGAGGAACTGGACATGGAGATGGAGAACATGGAGAACGTTCCACTGGATCCTGCTTCCACGTTAGCCCCCTCCTCTCAGGGGAGCACAGGGGCTCAGACCCAGAGTCCACAGCCGCTCTCCCCAGCTCAGGGGCCCGGGACACCAATGGGGTCCGCCCTAACCCCGTCCACCTCAACGCCCTCCTCCTCAGCCTCTCCGGGCCTGGCCTTAGACAAGCACCCAGGACAGGTAGCAGCAAACGGGCCAGTGGTGCTGTTAGGGCCAGCGTTCGATGAGACGCAGCCCTACGCGCACATGAACGGGGGGAGGAAGAACGAGCGAGCGCTGCCACTGCCTCAGTCATCGGCCTGCTGATCACGACTGCTCAGTTTCCCTCTACTCCTGACACAGGGTACCCACATTTCCCTCGCCCCTTTGTCTACATGGTCATATGTGTTTTTTCTTTCATTCTCGAGGAGTCAAAACCCAGGGCTGACCGTGGAGTCGACAACCAAAAGGACGGTGTCCTTCCTGGAAGTCAGTGGATCATTTTGTTCGAATGATTTCGAATGATGGAGGATGTTTCGGGTGATTAGTGACAGAAAAAGCCTACAAAAACTCTTGCAATATTTAAGTTTTCAGAATGAATCATCACACTAGAGAGGCTGGCTTTCACTTGTGTGAGGAAAAAAACAACTGTTTTAATGTTTTCTAAAGGAAGAAAACCTGCCAGTTCATTGTGAAACAAGAGGGACAAGCATATTAGCCAGCAAGCCCAGCCCGTGAACGCTTTCAGGGTGCATACAAGTGTGTTTTTATACAAAAATACACATTCACCTCTTAAGCGCAAGTACATTTCTCTTTCAAAATGGCGCAAGACTTTCTTAGCTGCGATCGATTGTTCTCAATCAGTGATTGGTCATGTTACTGGTTGAATCCACCCTTCTACTTAATCCATTTCAAGGGTGTTTGTTTGAGAGTGAGGTGGGCTTTTTTTGAAACTGCCAAATTTTTGCCAAATCAAAAGTTATTTATCATTACATCCCCCCCCCCCCCCCCCCCCCCCCCCATCCACCATCCACAGTCGATTTTTCAAGGTTGCACTTTGAAGTAGTGCAATCGAGGGACTAAGCTCTCATACTGTCTCTGATGGGGGATTTCTGGACCTCATCTTTTACAATCAGCTTGAGTTTGTAAATCCTTCCCCTTTCCCCTTTTTATATGGATCTGATCTTCGACTATTGCATGGAAGTTCCTGCTGCACACACCATCTGTGAGCTGAGCCTCTGTGAAAGCAATGTCTCAAGTCAAAAGGAAAGAGCACGCCGCTAATCGCGAAGGTGAAGAGATTGGTGCGCTGCAGAGGCGTATATGAATTATAAGGGATCAGCTCGGTCATGAAGCAAACTGAGGGGCTTCATCTGTTTTGTGTGATGAGTGAGGCATTGTACACAGCAGGTATTTTTTTAGACTAGTCATTAGTCTCTCTGTACAAATCATATGATTCTGAGAAGGGTCTTACAGTTCTATGTTAGACCACAAGATCATTTACACACAAATCATTGGTTTGAGTCACTTTTGATAACTTTTTTACAGTTCTGATGTTCACCTCTTTGTCTGTACAGAAAGAAGCTGCTATTGTTTTTCTTTTGTGAGTGTTTTATATATATATATATATATATATATATATATATATATATATATGTGTATGTGTGTATATATATATATATATATATGTATATGGAAATCCTTCAGGTTTAATATTTTATGATATCTCCACTACAGTCCATTTTCTTATGCTTTATACTCTTCTTGCAAAAAAAAGAAAAAAGAAAAGAAAAAAAGAGAATAGCAATTTATTTTTTTCTCCCTAAGAGGTTGTCTGCATTGCCACATGTCCATTGCCTTGTGTTTAACATTTCTCTATATTATTATTAAATATTATTATTATTATTAGTTGCAACAAACTCCTTTAGCTCTGCATGTGAACTTTAGGCACCCTTGATAAAGTTGTCTACCATTGCACCTGCTCATGAGGTGCTGCTCAATCTCAGGTTAATGTTACGGTTTTGTTCTCCAAACATCATGTTCCCATCATAGCTGATTCCACCTCAGCTTTTAGTTGCTGGCCTCTCCTTACAGTGTAGTAAACCGTACAGTATGTCAGTGTTCGTGCTCATGCCTCCTGCCAGGCATTGACATGGAAGTTTTCATTTACATTTCTTTACCCTCATAGACTATTTTTGTAACCCATTCATGTAACTCAATAGCAACTAACAGGGCTAATCGGGTTGTCTTAATTTGTCTCGCATATGCCAACCAGCCTGTATCGCCTCCAAAAGAGATGTATTCGTAATCTCAGTAACCACCTCGATTTTATAAATCCATGCAATGAACACTAACCTTCCTGATGAAATATGCCATCTGTAACCAAATAAGAATCGGTTCAAGTTCAGAGAAGTGATCGGTTTCTTCAAAGATTGCTAAATAAAACAATAGGTTTCCCTGGCTAGTCGGCTTTAAAAAAAGTTTAGTTTTGAAGAATTTCTTCGTGTGTATTTGGGAACGTTACCCAGGACTTATTTATCCTGTCTTAGAAGGTTATTTTCCCCCTTTGAAGGGGTATTTATTTAATTTCCTGTTTTTGTTGTGTGTGTGTGTGTGATACCAGTTGAAATCACTGTACAAATGCCCTTATGATTTAGTATAAAGTCTGATTCTAGATGCATTTTCCATGATGTCATGACTGGGGGACTTTCTTTTTTCATTTCCTTCAGCATCTATCTACCTCATTCTCTTTTATTTTTTTAAATGTGTAAGTATATGAAATGATAAAAATACATCTCGCTTTTTTCTGTAATGGACACCTTATCATCATCTGTCATGTCTCTGATAAAAAAACTAAAAAAAAAAAACTCTTTAAGCACCACAGAGTACAAGCTCCCAGGAGTGGAGAGAGAGGAAGTCATGGTGTGGGCTATCATGCCTATGGGATTCCTAATAGCGTGTCTATTGCATCCCTTATCACATGCCTGGCAACGCAAAAATCGCACTGCTCTCGATCACACTCCAATACTTTTATAAACAATCGTGTTAAAATACCTAATTCACCAGATGGTTTCATCATAATGGACCTTAGAGATAAAACCGTTCTTTGCTATCAGCTATCAAGTGTTGTTCTTCTTTTTTTATCTTTTTTTTTGGTATTTAATATTCTTCTTCACTGATCACCCCTTATTTGCCATCTAATCAAAAAAAAACATGATTTGAGTCCAGATATGATGTTGTCATTGAAAGCTCTACATGATGTTACATTTTCCATTAGTTAAAAGGATCTTATTTAGCAAAAACTAATTTGCAGCATCAACGGAGATCATGGCCCTTGACATCCTGTTTCCCAGCATGACCTTCTTCTGCACAACAATGTCAGTCTCCTACATCTGTCAATGGCCTATAACTGAGGATGACTTTAATACACTGATAACTGTAACATCATAAGTGAATCTTCCTTCTCTTTTGCTGCAGTCTGCTCTAATACCTTTTGGCCAAAGCATCTAACGATCGAATGAATACTGTGGATTTCGTAACACTTTCTCATAACAAACCAGTGGATTTTTTTCCCTTCTCATAAACCTACCTGGAAAAAACATTCCAACTGATTTGTTTGGTCAGATGCACTCCACATGTCTAGCGAGTACAATATATAAAGGGCCAATTGTTGTCGGCGTATTCATCGCCATCATTCTCTAGAGAGAGAAAGGGCTGTAGTTTTGCCTCTCTTTTCTACTGCTGCTGACAACATGCTGCTTTACAGAGACTACAAATAGTCTTGCCAATAGCATTGGGTAGGTGGTGGATCTAAGCAACATGCTTTCTCTCTGCAAACAACCATTAAAAACAGATGGGTCAGACGATTAAATTGCAAAGAGGATTCGGAGAAAGTCACGGTCTTACAACCCCTGGCCGTTCTGTTTCATGGCACTTAAAATATTCTCTTTTTTTTTTATCTTTTGAACTCCAGGGGTTGGAAACGAGGGCGCTTGTAGAAGATACCTGGTCGGGATGCTGAGAGGCACATTGTTAGAAAAGAATATTATTCTGTGTGGTATAAGACGATCGAAATAACCATTCTATAAAAGCCCTTGTGCTTGTATTGTTGCGTATGTATATGGGTGGGAGTGTATCACACGTAGATGTAGTGATTAAGATTTTGATGCGTTTATAATGGAAAATTATAGATATCACTATTTATTTCTGCTTCTTATTTCTTCCTGTAATTAATATGGACAAAAGCATTGGCCTGTTGCAAAGTGAATGTCAGTTTTCATTGAATGCTGCCAAGGTTCCTTAGTTACCAGTAGGTTACAGTTCTACAGAAACGCATACACAAATAGGACAGCGATGTCCAGTAGATTACGGGTAGTCATGACACAGAGAGAGAGAACATGACTAGAATTTAAAATAAAAAGAGACAAGTTTACAGTAGAAATAGCTTATGTTGCAATGAAAGTTTTCGCAAACCTGAAGGTAGATTGACTGAAAGATTTTTTTCCTCAACTAGAACTATTATTATTTTATTATATTTCTTCATAATGCAAAACCTCAGGTTTAGAACAGATGCATGTATGCATTTTAATTGCAATAATGAGCTTGAGGTTTCACAGACATCATTTCCCAGGCACTGTTGTTTCTGCTTGGCATTCCAACCAATTTCAAAAGGGGCCTTGAACTACTGTACTGAAAAGAGTTTAATAACACTTTATTTACCTTTCACAAAAAAAAGAAAAAAAGGAGAAAAAAAATCTCTGTCATTGCATTGATTGGTAGAAACTGATGATGAAATGACTTGGCTGGTACTCTCGTCTTCTTTTAAGTTATGTATCTAAGGCCTCCTGTTTTCTCCTCACCTCCAGTTGAGATGGTAGACTTTTTACATGCCATTGGCTTAATGTATATCTGAAGAATTTTCATGTATTTTCTTTTTTTCTTAAATTTTGAATTAAAAAAAATGAATGAGTATGAAGTCTTGTGTCAAGTGTCACTTATTGAATTTACACTCTGGGTCTACATGACAGGATTGTGTTTTATGGAGGACGTTTTCTACCTGTGTCTGTGTGCTGTCCACATACTCTGAGGTTGTGTGCGCAGAGCTGCCCAGCTGGCGTAACAAAGCGTGGATGATGGTCTGGAGTTGTGGTACCAGTCTCTCTGGGCTTGCCAGGCTTCCTGAGGCTGGCACATGGATCAGCGCAGCCTTTCCCTGCCCATGGTACAGTGAATAGTAGTATACAAAATCACACAGGTACCTGCAGAGAATTATGAGAAAAATATGAAATAATTCACAAACGGAGGAAAATAAACTCTTGAATTACAGTACCAACTTTTGTACAGGACCTTAAAGGGATACTCCCCCCCAAAAGTAAAAATTCTTACATTATTTACTGTAAGGATGTACTGTATATATGACTTTTTTCAGATGAATGCAAATTCAAAAACAATCCATCTCTGCAAGTCCATATGGAAGTGTATGGGACTTCCAAAGTTGATTCTTCAAAAACCACACAAAGCGAACACCATACGATATTTGTATATGGGATGGCATGAATAAATATACAGTAGAAGACTGACTGTAGTGGCTGTTTCTATGGGATGCTATATGTAAGCCGTCCGCCATTGTGGAACGGTCAAAGCCGTGAACACTCGAGAGCAACTGTAGTTAGAGGCATGCATGTATCTTTCTGCAATAGATATCAGCAGATGATTTTGCTAAACTAACACAATATAAGACGAAGGCATTAGCTAACACGACATTAAAAAGTTACCATAGTTTAAAAACGTGTAATATTGAGTTAATGCATATGAAAACACAAACCAACACATTCTCATCAGTGAAAGGTTATCCAATTTCTTTGGGGATTTAAATCCCGGCGGTTTCACGACCAGAAGCTGCGCAATATTGTGGCATCATTGATTCTTAAGGGGTGGTCACTCTACACATTTCGTTCCATTGACTTCCATTCATATGCACGAGAGAGTTTGGTGAACTCTGACCTGCGAATTCGCATCAGGTGAAGATGTGTGACCAGTAAAAGTTTGATAGGTCATGCCGTGACTTCTTGGCTGAATTTAAAAAACTAATATTTTTGCAGTTAAGTCGAGTACGGTAGATTGTATATTTTTTCATTTTTAATATATTACTATTTGTTATATGTTGAATTCATGTTTGTAAAAGAGACACCGCAGTGACATCATATCACGCCCATTACAGCGTCCATAGAAACTTTGTGCGCTCAAAGTCTAGTGTGACCGTAACTGTGACGAAACGCTGACCGTTCCAAGATGGCGGACGTGCCTATGTGTCTGGAGCGGTCGAATGTGGCATCGACATATCTACGATGAGAGTGAGTAAATGACAGAATTTTCACTTTTGGGTGGAGTATTCCTTTAAATCAACACATTTTTACAAATAACTTTAAATTTGTATAGATGAATAATATTTTCAAGTTTTATCCATGAATCAAATTGTTAGTCTATTACCTCCCAGCATCCCTGGAGTAGATGACATCAAGTCCCATATTTTTTAAATGCTTGCTGAGGGATCTCATGTCTATGATAGAGTCCAGTCGTCCGGGTCCTCCCTCAATACAGCAGTGATGAACAGGGTACAGACCACTCACATCCCTGTCTTTGTAGCAGTAGTTCTTGCCTGTTTGCTCCAGTGTGATGCCTTTGGATCCTGGGGCTATGCCCAAATGGATAACAACCTGCCCATCACAGCGAGAAAATGTCTCTGTCATCATTTTGTATCAAAAGTAAAATGTTTTAGTTTTAAGACATGTCATCTCAGATGCTGTAAACTTCTCATCTGCATCTCATAATCCCTTCTCTGTTATGAAGTGTTTCATCAAGACTTGGTCTATGTATAAATATTTGTTTGTTACCTTTGGAGTCATTGCTTGCCAGATATCATCAAGAACTTCTTTTGAATTTGCATAACTGACAGGAATCTCCATAACATGGACATCTATGCCCAATCCAAGTCCTGCCATCTTCAATCTCTGCTCAAATAGCAAAGTGTGGCATAGTGTGTGTGTGTGTGTGTGTGTGTGTGTGTGTGTGTGTGTGTCCATTTTACTGACAAGTTCACGAGTTCACACTTACATACAATTAAAGAGAATAAAGTATAATGCGTATGGGAGGGGGGGGGGACTGTATGTAAAGTGGTTTAGGACTAGAAGAGTGGAGGAGGGGTGGTGGAGGGACGCTGCTAAACTGTCAGAGAAATTAGGTGAGACTGCTGAGTCTTTATATACGTTTTAATCATAATTGCTGAGTGCTCTCCACCCGTGTTAATTATCTGAACGTGCTTCTCCCGAACTTTGTTAATAAAACATCATAACTTATAATGACTTTAAAGCACATGGGTTTTATACCTATTTGTATTCCTATAGGAACCTGAAAATTGGCATTTTATTCAATGGTAAGCTACAAAAAAAGACAAAAGTGTGGAAATTGCAGTAACTTACAAAAGCACCATTAAGTAAAAGAAAGATGTAACAGGGAAGAAAATAAATAACTGTTACTGCTTTCACATGAGGGTGAGTAAAATGTTCATTTTTGGGCGAATTATTACTTTAATTTGGCCAAATTGCTCAAATTTAATTATAAGTATTTATGTAAAAGGGTAAAAAAAAATTGCATTGTTTTACTAGTAGGGCCTACCTTAGCTGCCTCCCAACTTGGATTCACTACATATTGTCGGAAAGGGGCAAAACCTAGTAAATTAGAAAAAATTAATAAACAGCATTTGACATAGATAAAAGCAACAGAGCTGACTAGTTAGGCAACACTAATAACATGTTGTTTAGTATCTTTACACAGCGAAACTAACTTATATTAACTGCGACACGACTTTCACTCGACGAAATAAGTTAGTTGAATGCTTCAATTTACCGCCCCAAAATAAACCACCTAACGTTAACTGTTAACGTTACCTGTTACAACTACAGTTTCGCGAGTAGTGTCCGTGTCCATCGAGATGAGATTTTATTAAGTTAAAAGTTTTAACTTAAAACACGGTTTACCGCCTTTCTCGTAGGTCGTAACGTTAACTGAAGGCGAAAGTAACGATGTTGTGCAATAGTATAGCCAATGTCTTGAATAGGGCTATAACCGAACGTGACTGCGCAAATGAGGCTGTGAGGCAGTGCATTGTCCGTTTTTCTCCACATGGGAGAGCCATCTCATATCCCATCATAGAGCTAAAGACGCACTACTTCAAACATCTTGAACGGGACAGAATTTGTACAACCTACCATGGCGAAGGACTGGGTCATGAATATTAATTAGAGCGGACTGACGTTGTTAAGCAAGCGTCCAGTCACATAATCTAATTAATATTCAACTGTTTCGCGCATACTTGCCAACGGCAAATCACTGAACCCTACTGGGCGAACGTAGCGTTGCGTAATTAATATTCATGAGCTAAACCGTGATCATAGTAGGAGTCACTAACGGGACATTGGATCAGCTCAAATCCTCCGCACTTGTTCGACTCTGCCTCCGCCCAGCGCTTCTCATCGACGCAGAACACAGATGACAACGAAATAATTGATTAATTTCTAACTTGACAAATTTAAGCGTAACCCGAATTTACACAATTACAAAGTAAACATGTTCCGAATGATGGAGCCGTTTGAAAGCGAGAAGCTCCAATTACAAGAGCTCAACCAAAGACTCGGCCAGTACCTAATGCGCTCAAAACAGTTGGAACAAGAAAACACCGGCTTGATAAGCGAAATAAATTCAATCAGACAAAACAGGTCTGGAGAATGGGAAAACAAACACATGTCCGAACTACGGGAAATGAGGAGACTGGTGGAGCGATTATCTTTCGAGAAATGCAGAGCAGAGATGGAACGGCAGAAGCTGCGCAATGAACTCCAGATGCTTCAAGCGATGCGTTCAGATGAAGCTTCGGTGGGCAAAGGCATCGGCACTGAGCTCCAAGGCTGCGAGAGGCAGCTCCATCATACTCTTCAGACCAACGGTGCTTTGGAAGATCGCCTTTTTGAGCTCGAAAACGAATATAAGTTTTTGGAAGATGCCCACAGAAAGGAAATCGGCCAGCTGAGGAACCAGGCGCACTCCCGAACTGTACGCGTTGTGACTCAAACGCATCACGCACCTCCAGCAGTTACGATGGAAGAGATGCAGGAGTATGCGGCCAACTTCACTGAAAGCTGGCAGGGGACTTTGGACATGTACCGCCTGAGGGTAGAGGAAATCGAAGAGTCTATAAAAGCAGACCACGCGAGGCTGGAGGACATTCAGAGGGAAAAGAGGGAATGTGCTTCACAGTTCAAGAGGCTGCGTGACGAGATTGAGAAACAAACACAAGTGCAGCAGAACCTTGAGGAGCAGCTCGAGAACATGCAAGAACATTTCAGAGATGAAATCAGTCAGTATCAGGTGGGTGTCAAAGCAAAACACAAGGCCCTTTATTAATAAAGTCACTACAGATGAAAACAGGGATTGCGTAATGATGTACAACAGCGCCACACCCACTGTGCGCACTACTAGTGACAGCAGCATCATGGCACATTCTAGAGCAGCTACACATTAGTTAGTGTACCATTACTTTTTTTCCCTTAGAATTAGAGGCACAAATCACGTTATCCCATCTATGGGATATATTTGATTAAAAAAATAAATAACCTAGTAGTGTATGGCGTTTTAAACACATCAATGTCTGTAATCCCCTCCCTTAGAATGGCCAACATTAGACGAAAAATTATCAAACAAAAAGTTACTGATTCAAATATATTTCTGACATTTACTTTAATATATAACATGCAGTTATATATATAAAAAAATTGACGTTCAACATTTCTAATGGTTAAGCACCCACTGTATGTTGAGAAGTTTGTCAGTTTACTTTTTTCCCCCTCAAAAACATTTTTTTTTTTTTTTTATAAATAGTTGTATTACATTTATGAGAAAGATAAGTTTATCAGTGCTTTTTAGTTCATCCAAGAGTAAAGTAAAATATTACAAAACACATATAGTGGAGACCAAGCAGACATCAACTTCATGTAGATTAACATTATCCAACACCTGTTTTTTTCAATGGGCCCTTTTGGAGCTCAAGTGAGAAGTGCTTAGGCACTGCCAATATCCACGTTTATCATCTCTAGCTCAGTGTGCCTAAAAAAAAGAGCATTAAAGCCTCATCCCATTATTGCCTCTCTCCAGGGAGAATGACAAATGAGCAGTTACTGAAACAAAGTGCAAGCATCAGTAAAGTGTTGTGTCACTGTGGGCTAAATTGAATGTAGGATGTCAGTCTTAACATATTACTGTAGTTAGTTGGACAGACTAGCCTATTGAGTGCCAAATGTTCCGATTCCAAAACCACAGATGCACTCATCAAACAGACTAATGATGTGTCGTTGTGATTTTGCCATGTAAGACATGTATTCAACATCTTTTGTTGACCCTGGAACAATATTCCTGTCCAAAAACTAACCCTATCTGTACCCCTAAATCTAACCCTACCCATAACTTATCCCTAAAATCAAAGGGAAATGATGGGTGAATGAGAATGGTGTAGAAGCCCTTTAACTCTTGTTGTAAGCCTAAACCTGACACTAACTATAAACCTATTCCTCAGATCTGATTGGTTGATTGGAATGTTGTTGCAGGATCAACAAGGATGTTGATCTAGGAACATGTTCAAATCGCATAGCTAAAATTGGTCAGAGGTGACATTTATGTCACCACTTGAGACCAAAAGTACTTGATGGAGAGTTAGGAGCCACTGGAGTGGGGGGAATTTAAAGGCTTGTAGCAACCATTGAATGTAGCATATTAGGAATTTGATCTGTGAATTACATTGACTTAAAAAAGGCTTGTCTTGTGACTTGGACCAACATAAAGTAGATAACTCTTCAATCATTAAAAACCCCCATCTCTTTAAATAAATAATGAGGTTTCAGCAGGGGGTGATGTTGGAAGAGCTCTTAAAGTCCCACTCCGATCATATTTTGAGCTATTTTTAAACATTCCCAGTGGTCTTTAAATTATGATTATGCCATTTTTAGCCAAAATCACAAAACCTGTGCCGTTTTCTGGGACTTCGCTTCAGCAGAGCGGCAGTAGCTCATTAGCAATTCGCCTCTGCGTTGTGGGCGGAGCCGTTGGCACGGAGACGACCCTCCCCCTGCCCGTTGCTGAGAGCTCTGTCTCTCCCGCTAGCTTACACCCCCAATACCGGTGGGGCAACAGTATTATATACACGTTAATTATTATTATCCGAAGTTAATCAAAGTTATCACCGATCACCGATCATTATTTCACTCCAAGACGTCGCGTGTGGAGACGCCCAGTGGAGTTACTACGTCACAACTCCAGTCTATTTTAGCCGGCATTTTAGCGTCTGCTACTGATTCACAGCCATTTGAATGTAGAAATACTCAGAAATACAACTTTGAGCTTATTTTTCTCAAGATATGTCCTCTAACATCAGAAAAATGCCACAAGAACATGTTAACACCTAGAAAAACATTATTTTCATCGGAGTGGGTCTTTAAACAGGTGCATCACAAACAGTAGCCCCCAAAATACACTTTGGGTCAATAAGATGCAAGTGGACACTCTTTTGAAAGAGAGAGATGAGATAAAAATAGGTTTACAGTTTAAACACTATACTATTCAGTGTATTATTGCAATATCCACTATATATGTACTCTGTCTGTCTCTCTCTCTCTCTCTCTCTGTGTGTGTGTGTGTGTGTGTGTGTGTGTGTGTGTGTGTGTGTGTGTGTGTGTGTGTGTAAAAGAGCAAACAGGATAAATTTCTATCTTCTTGTCATTCAGGCTATCATTGAGGAACTGGAGTATGAGCGCAGAATGTTGTCCAACACCATCTCAGAGAAGCTGAAGGACCATCAGGATCTCTTACAGGTCAAGATGGGTCTTGCTTTGGAAGTGGCAGCATACAGGTAGAGCATACAAAATCAATTAAATGCTCCCTTTCACTTTCTACATTCACTTAAATGAGCACATTCAGCTTCTCTTTTTCTGATAATTCATGGTAAATGATCCCAGAGGTCTTCTGCTAGGACTTGAATCATGCATTCAGTTTTAACAATTTTCTCAAGCTCATGTATTTTTTAAGTACTGTCTATGGTCTAATGCTAACTCAAGCACAGGGATGAATGACCTGTTTCTGTGCTCTTAAAACGAGTCTCCTCCTACATTCTCTTGGTGACATTAAATATTAATACCAAAATTACTTGCGCTTCATGGACTTTGGCTGACAAGACATCTCACAGGACCAGTGCAGGAGTCCTTGAAAGCTATTAAAATGTCTTAAGTTCATATTTCATTGTAAGGGGCCGAACACACAGAACTTGTTTTTGCACTGATCCACACCATCTCTAATTCCACTGTGCTGCTTTTTTAGATTTGTCCATCTAAACATGCTACATGGATGTCTTTGACCAGCATGTTTGCATCTTTTACAGGATCTCATACATGACAATTTTTTACCATTCCACTTCCTACGTCTAGCATTTTTTGAAACGGAAAAACACGTTCTGTGTAAATGGCCTCTTATTCTGCTATTTTAAAAGTATGGGTTTCTAAAACTTTCTCCGTGCAGTAATGTGAATATAAACATTTGACTGTTGTCTGTTTATAGTTGAGTAGAGTAGTTTGACATAGCAACCACCCCTAACATGAGCCTTGTGGATGTATTTTTAGCCACTGCAGCAACAGAGCAACTAATGCCCGCCCATTTGGCAAGTCTGCTTACAGTCCCGCCCCTCTTTTCTTGTTAGACTGGATAACTCCTGTATTTATGACCTAATCCATGTATGTTGAACAAACACTGAAGCTGATTTATGATTTTCATTCTATTGTAAAGCTGTCTGATACAGTAGCTAATGCACATGAAAGTTTAGCATCTAGAGTTATGAAATAAAGCTACATAACAGTAGATTAAAAATAAAGTTTAGAGATTTTTTCCCCCTGTTATGTCCCCTACTTCATAATGCGTGTAGAAGATCCACCATTGCAGGTACTTGAAACTGTATGTACAACCTTTATTTATTCTTAATCAAATGTTTGGTTGGTCTCTTGTCTGAAGATGTCGATGTATAGTTGCAATGTTTTGGATAATATTGAGACATGATAATGTAGAAGTTCCATTTGTCTATTTCAAACTGCTCCACATCTTAAGCCATTATGAAAACAGACAGGGTGCATTGTGGCAGTTATTTTTAGTGCAGTCTCTCAAAGGAATCACAGGGGACTTTCATACGTTTACTGTCTGTAGCTCCACATAGTCTGCTTCGCTTTGGTTCTCCGGCACATTTTTCATGTAAAAGCATTGTCAAGGTAGGTTCAAAGCTGCTCAAGGACCTGTTTATCCAATTAAACGCAATGGTGGAGATAAAGAGTGTTTTTAGTGACCTTAACTGTGTTTCTGCTTAGGACATGGGCTTGGTAGGTTTTCTGGTTGCCCTCAGTGTTGTTTGAGCTTTTGCATGGTCATGGCAGAGCATGGAGGTAGTCAGCATTCTCCAAAGAGGTGAAAAAGAAGTGCCTAGGTTGTTCATGATACTGTATGTTCTGCTCAAAGTAATTAGATTGACCTTAAATATGCCTGTTTACCTGTATCTTTGACATTGTCATGTTTATCAGGGCACTCTTGGAAGAAGAAGGAAGACATGCTCAAATGTGGTCTAATCAGCATTCAAGAGAAAGAAAAATAGGTATTTGCTTGTCATTTAGCTTAAAAATAATAGTTTCATGCTATATGATTTTTAACACTACTAAAGTTTGGTTTACTATTATTCTAATTATTCAGTATTCCAACAAAGCATACTAAGACAGTTAGAAAGTAAAATGTCATTTTTATCTGTTATCTTTCTACTGTAGATATAAAAATGCCATCCCATCCTTACACTCCAAGAGTGTCCATCAATTCGGCAAGTCGGCCAGATACAAGGAAAAAAGCCTTCACAGGATATGATGTTAAGTATATGGAGCCTATTTCCAGTGTGAGAACCTCATCTACATCAAGTCAGTTTCATTCTCACGAACCCTCAAGGATCGTGCCCATCAGTGTATCAAATCGTGCCCAGCAAAGTCCTGTTTCAAGAAGGGACATGATTTCATTCACCAAAGCAGCGCAGGCAGCTGCTTCCAGTACCCTGAAACCTGGAGTCTCTTCTGTTGAGATAAAGAGAGAGGAAACCGATCAGAGAAGTATGAGAAAGGAGGTTTCACAGCACTCTTCAAAGGGCTCACTTGATCGTCCCCCCTATAGAATCGAAAGTATATCAAGCTCTACAGCCTCAAAAATAGAGAAACCAAAGCCAGCGAATGTGATATCACCCCTTGCGAGTTTGAGCAAGAACACCACTGAAGAAAGCAAACAAAAAGATGTTGAACCGAAAGAAAAGAGAATGGATGCCAAACAAGATAAAGAAAAACCCAAGGCAACAAATAAAGAAGAAAGAGGGGATGTGAAAGAATCAATAGCTAAAGATGTGAGAGTGTCTGAAAATGTAGGGCATAAGGTGTTTGTAGGTGAGGAAAAAGTACTAGATGCAATTTCTACAGAGGAAATAATTCAGCAGGTCATGAAACCAGCTGGTTTAGATACTAGGGTCAGCTCAAGGTCCCCCGACTCAAAATTCACATATCATGTGGAGAAAACGGAGCAAGAGGATGGATCCATCAAGACTCAGATTGTCTTACAATCTAAAGTTGAGGAGCAGCTGGATCTGTCTGAAGATTCTGCCCTGGAGGACCTTCTCAACAGGGGAGTCAAGAAAGTTACCCTGGAGAACATCAAAGGAACCCCAACTGGAACCATGATCGAGAACCTGCTGAGTCTTGGCCTGCAAGGTGAGAGTTTGGGAAATAGGTCAGTGAATGTGGAGATAATCGAGGAACCTGTGGAGTCTCAGAGTGATGAGGAGAGTGAAATTGAAATAGAGGAGACTATGGAGATTAAGTCTAAACAACCAAACATCAGTCCCTCATCGATGTTCTTCCAAATAGAGGAGCTAGAGAGTGACCCTAAGACCATGAAACCCTTTGACAGTGGTTCTGCTGAAGCCTCTCATTATGGAAACAGTGGCTCTGTACAAGTTCAGGAAGTTACCAGAGATGAAAACATACCATACTTCTCGCATGTCCAAGAGTCACAAGAATACTTTGTATCCACTCCTGAAGACAATATGTCTGAGTTTGAGGAGGGTGGAAGGTTTATGTCTTACAGCCATTATGGAGTTATGGATGATCTGTCTGATGAACGATATTACCAGGAAGAAGACCACAAACAGCCCACTGCTGAAGGTCAGAGGTACAGAGATTCACCCGAATATGGTGACCACTCGTTTTTGAGAGACAACATCGAAGACTGCATAATTGAAGAGGAGGTGCACGTCTCTCCCACCCTGCAACAGTCCATAGTAGGGATCCTGAAGAAGGAGTCTCTAGACCCCGAACAGCAGCTCAGAGGAGCATTAGAGCAAATCCAAGATACGGTATCTGGAGCCCTCAAGGAAGAACTTGCATTTTTCACAAAAGGTAGAGAGACTCCAGAAAATGTCTCTGTTGACATCAAAAAAGTTGAACAAGTTACAGACAGCGGAACCATGACCATTGTGGCTGAGGTTAATGTGTCCCAGACGTTGGAGGAGTCTGGGCTGCTGGAAGAAGAAGGAGATGATCTGTCTGAAGAGCAGATAATGGCAGCACTGAGCTCATCCCACCCAGGACTCCAGCAGGTCCTCGGTGGTGGAGCTGGTGCAGGATACACCATGAACATTTCCCAAGAGGAGTTTCAAGTGGAGGGAATGCCATGGATGACCAGCAACGAAGAGATCCAACAATGGAGCTCAACCGATGAGGTCGGCAAGACGGAAAAACACATCAAGCTGGGCCCTAGTGAGAAATCCTTCACTTTTAAGATGGACGTGAACAACGGCTCCTCTGCATCAACAAGCGGAGGAGCCGTTAAAGTACAAAGAAGCGGCAGCGCTACTGAGTACTCACAGACCCAGATGATTGACCCCCACTTGAAGGTCTGTCATGAGAAAAGAATCGCAACTGTTTATCTTGAAAGCCCCAAAGACGAGTGATATCATGAAATAACATCTAAATGACACATTGAATGTGTCAACATTCATGTCAATCAAATAATTCATTATGAAATGAACCAAAAAAAATCAGCTGTTGTAAACCAGAATTAAAAATTCATGGTCCATCATGACTGTTACACACTAAAAATGTTACTGATCCCAGTTTTTGAACAGTACTGTAACTGACATAGCTAATGTATTAACAAAGCTAAAGCTAATCACTTTAATACTTTGCTTTGTATATATTATTAACTACCACATTTTATTTCATTTTCAATATATAGTACAGCTTTAACTAAGCACAGAAAAAGTGAAAAACAGTATTTTCTTTGCATTTCATTTTTAAATAGCTTAAAAAATACATTGCTGCCTATAAAAAAACACACACGTTGTTATTGTACCGTCTTGTGCTTCTAGTTTCCATAGAATTGCAAAAACAAGTTTGGCATGTTTTAATCTTTTTATGAAATATGTTAAACAGAGATTGATCAGACGGAGATATTTACAAAAGTATGCAGAAATTCTAGATTAGTGCAGGCTATTATTGGCCATATATTTGTGAGTTATTCAAAACTTTAATCATAATATCACAAATTTGAATATTTTTGGTTTATATACTGTGGTCTACATTTGGCCACTTTCTAGTTCTGAAGGTGAGAAGCACTAGACTGCCCTTCCTGTAAGAGATCCAGAGATCTCTTAATCCTTAAATGACATTAGACCAGCAAGGACTAATCTAGCAATCCTGCTCTTCCAGGACAACACATTTTTCATTGCTCTAGTACTGTACAGAGACAGTGAGAGAGGGAGGATCGTAGATCCTTGTAGAAATCTCGCATTAAAAATAAGTGCTAGGCAGCTTACACAGAAGTGTGTAAGTGCTTCCAGAATAGCTATTCGGTGCTATTAAGTCTGAGTCACAACCTATTACGCAATATGAGGATTCAGCTCCACTAAATGACAGTCTATTTTTAGGATTCCATTGACACCACAAGGTAAAATAGTGTCTGAAGATTACAAGTGTAAGCATGTGTGTTTTCCTCTATTTTTTCTATTTATCTTTTAACAGATATCAGCATATTAATGTTAATGTCACCAGATGCTGCAATGGTGACAGTCCTGTGCCTGTTAACAATGCTGGGAGTAAAAAAAGTGTAACATCATTTCCAATTTATTTAATGATTTACCATTTCATTTTCAAGTAGCTTTTTAAGTCAGTATTATCATAAACTATCATAGATCTAGAAATGAGATCCTCAATATCATATATGTTATCACAGTGATCCCAGGGGTTCTTAAACAAGTTTGAATAAATTTGATTTAACCTTATTAAACTGGGTGCAAATGGTGCTTAATGTCATTTAATGTGTGTGAGTTTTTACATTTGTTTTGATGACACAAAGCAGAATATAAGAGTCACTCGCAATATGATTTTTCACATTTAAGAGACTTAAATAATATCCAGTATAATACAAGATGAAAGAATCCCATTTCTGGGTTGTGTGTTGATAAAGGGGTGTTTGAGTCTTACTCATTACTTAGGCTGGGGTGCTACACAACAGCAAAAAGGTTGTAACAGATACATCATAAGTTATTAAGGATCATTATTAACCATTTCCGACCATTTATCTGCATCCCTTAAGATGGTGTTTCAGAACCTGCCGTTGTTTATTTGAATCTATGCATACTAGGATTTTAGGACTCAACCATCACTGTGAAACCTAATTTTGCCCATCTACAGATTTACAGTTTGCTATACATGATTAACTGCCTTAGCAAAGATTGGTTTGGGGTATTTTTGCAAAATTAAAATTCACAAAAGGGGTGTTTTGTGTGCTGTTTTACTCTTAAAAAGACTAATCTGCTCACTGTCTGAACATTGGTTTACATGCAAACACAATAAACAAACCCTTACAGAGTTGTGTGTTCAGCTCAATTCTTAGAAATATTATACCAGTAAGAATTAAAACTCTTTGCAGAGAGGCCTGCCGCTCACCAGTCAGAGAGTGTTTGGAGAAACCACTGTGACGGTGTATTAGATCACTACTGGACAGTTCTCATTTTTTGAAGTGCAGAGGTAGTCACCTTGCCAAGCACTCTAAAGACACAATAGAGCTTGTGTGCCGTTCTAGAAGCACTGCCTTGCTTTTTCCAATCCACAGATTTCCCTTGGTGAAATAGGATGAGGTCAAACATCCATGCCACAAACAGCCCTGCTGGTCACTGCTGTTATGAGGTAGACATACTAGATGTCCCCTCAGATGCAGATGATACCACTGCACAGAATGGAGGCCTTTTTTCAAGACGACTTTCCTTACGTCTCTCATTGACCTCTGGTGACCTAGAAAAAGACCACAAAGCATTAAATGCCTCATCTATTAATAATATTCACTTTCAGCAACACTCTACATTCAGGTGAAATGTCCGCGTACTGCACTGAAAGCAGATTTTTAGAGTGCACTGTGACTTCCTGCTATAGTTGTGTAACACATGATTGAGTAGGAAACTCACTGAGACAGCATGTCCACGGTTATTTGTGTGGCTTTGGTTTTCTTGTGCTGAGGACCATATAGCATACTTTGAATATCCAGACACTGAAAGAGAGACAGATATACATGGTTAGCAAAACATTTGAGAACATTGGTGACAAGCTATACTCTATATGCATGTATATTTTTTATATAATTACAACATAATGCATATGTATGTATAAATCTAGCCTTTTATTGAAGTAAAATAATTGAAAGTGGGGGGGGGGGGGGGGGGGGGGAGGTGGGGGATAATCATATTGTGGAATAAAATAATGCTTTTCTCCAAAACACGTTGGCCATAATTATTGGTATATTAAATACTTTTTGCAACCTCCTTTTGCCAAGATAACAGCTCTGCGTTTTCTCCTATAATGCCTGATGAGTTTGGAGAACATCTGACAAGAGATCAGAGAACATTCCTCCATACAGAATCTCTCCAGATCCTTCAGATTCCCAGATCCATGCTGGCGCTTCTTCTCTTCAGTTCAGCCCACTCATTTTCTATTGGGTTCAGGTCGTGAAACTGAGATGGCCATGCCAGAAGCTCCATTTTGTGCATTTTTGTGTTGATTTTGATGTTTGTTTTGGATCGTTGTACTGGTGGAAGATCCAACCACGGCCCATTATAAGATTCCTAGCAGAAGTGGTCAGGTTTAGATTTTTTATCTGTTGGTATTTGCTAGAATCCATGATGCCATGTATCTGAACAAGATGTCCAGGGCCTCCAGCAAAAAAATAGGCCCACAACATTAAAGATCCAGCTATATATTTAACCGTAGGCATGGGTTACTTTTTATCCCTGTTTGCACCAAACCCATCTGGTGGGTTTGCTGCCAAAAAGCTCTTTTTTGTTTGTTTGTTTCATCTGACCATAGAAGCCGGTCCGGAATATGCTGGAGTTTATTTTTGGATGAGCGAGGAGGATTTTTCTTGAAACCCTCCCAAGCAAAATGTGCTGATGTAGGGGTTGTTTAAATTTTGTTTTTAGGCTTTCTGACGCCCAAGACTCAAGTAATCTCTGCAGTTCTCCATCCGTTCCTCCTCACTGTGCATTAAGACAATATAGACACACGTCCTCTTCCAGGCAGATTTGTAACATCTTTAGTTGATTGGAACTTCTTAATTGTTGCCCTGATGGTGGAAATGGGGATTTTCAATGTTTTAGCTATTTTCTTACAGACACTTTCTATTTTGTGAAGCTCAACAATCTTGTGCTGCACATCTGAACCATATTCTTTGGTTTTACTCAGTGTGATGAATGATTTAGGGAATTTGGCCTTTGTGTTTCCTCATATTTATACTCCAGTGGAACAAGAAATCATAGCTAGACAATTTCATGTTCCTAGTCACGCTGGTGTGTTAAACATTTTTTATAAAGATTAATGGGAATATACTTCAGAGATATTTTACTAGTAAAAAAATCTTGGGGTGCCAATAAATATAGCCAATGTGTTTTGGTGAAAAACATTTATTTCATAATGTGATTGCCTGGTGAAACATAAATGGCTAGCTGAGCTTCAATACAGTCATAACTGTCTGTGAATGTGAAACTAAAATATCAAAAAAGTGTGTATTTGTTACAGCTAAAATTCAAACCTATAAAGTAAGATTTAGTGCTCTGCTTTGTGGAGCTCAAAGGGTAGTGAACGGCTTGACTCTGATTTCACAGACATAGTAGAGAGGAGGAGTGCCTTTGGCACAGATATTACAGGATACCTGGCCAAGCCACTTAATTTCCTCAAATAAACCCACTCTCATTCACTTCTTCAAAACAACAGCAACGGTTAGGATGAAAAACACTCAAAATGACGACATGACAGCAGTCTTTCCATAAAAAGACAAAGGAAAGTACTGTTCAAAGTTTCCTTCATGATTGAAAAGTCTCAGTCGATGTTTTCATCACTTTCCACAGGCAAAAGTGATGTCATGGGTCCACTTCAATGGGAAAACAGTTGCAGTGACTTTCAAAAGTGTGTGTGTCTTTGCTTTGTGGCTCTCAAAAAAGGACTGGATATCATCTAAAGACTGCATAAAACATAATAGACTATACTGTGTATATAATCTAACTTTATTATCGCTTATTTAAATCCCTGTTTCTGTTTTAACCACACAACCCTGGCTTTAGGCCAAAGTCTAAAGTGAGAGTGTGTTGCTCTGCTGCAGCAGCTGTCATGATTACAGGAGAAAGAATATGATATGAGCTGCTCGTATCTGTCAGAGGTAACGGGGAAAGGTTAGTAGCCTGAGGAAACGCTGAGCGTGGGACCACTGATTCACAACCCCAGAAATGGAGCCCTTCAATACAACAACAAAGCAACATAGCAACAGTGCTCGCTTACAGACGAGTGGGGACAGGTTTCCAAAGAGCAACAGTCACCAAATTATCTCAGAAGGGGTTTCAGTGTGACCAAATAAAAATAATTTAGAACATACTAGGAGACAAGGATAATGTAGTATCTTCTTACGGCATCAAATGTTAAGAGCGAAAGACACAAAATCAATGAATAACGTCATGTGGCATGACTCCTGGAGGAGGGCATCAAGTGAGCTGCCCAAGACACCAACAATGACATTGTCCCATCTAAAAAATAATCAAGCTTTAAATAAAGATAAAGCTACCAAAACAAATGTTAACTTTGGTAACTTGCTTTATTTCCTAAATAAAGTTACCATAATAAACATACTGTCTGAAATAAAATGTCTATTCATTGTATGCATGTTTTAAAATTAATTTTAGAATTTGAGTTGACTATTTTAGAATACTATTTTTCTTCTAGTGGAAGGTCTTTAACTGGATTCAGTGGTCTTTTGACAGCACTCGGCAATGTATAATGGCCATGAAAATGTCTACTTGCTTCTAGAAGGACTAAGAACACAATGCTATTTCTTGGAACGTTTCATATCAGGAAAGGCGTCTAACATTCATGCTAACCTCCAAGATTAGAGCATAGCTCTGAGGACAGAAGCTGTTCAGATCTCTTTTTATGCAAACTGCAGTTGCACAGGCTCTAACAACTTTGCATGGAAGGATCTTAGTGAAATATATTGAATAAACTTTATTTGATAAACTCTATTTTAGCGTCTGAAATTGCATAGTCTCTTGAGTAGACTCATTTTGAATAAGTACGACCGCAAAAAAAGCACATTCAATATAGTATGAATGTGTGAAGTATGAACGTAATCTGGACGTATTACATTCATCATGTTGCCCTAATCATGTGACCTACCAGCGTTAGCTAACAGTACTGTGAATTCGGACATACTTCTTTTGTCACACACTGTTTTTCGCCTACTATATAGTAAGGAAGTATGCGATTACAGATGCAGCCTTAATGTCACGATGTAATGGAAGTAGAAACATCGGTTGTTAACTGTATAGAGGCAACATCTAAATGTGAGTTTGCAGTCGATTGTAAGAAAGCGGCGGGCTAAATGATTGGAAAAATCTAGCATACATCACCAGAGAGATGTTTAATTTTTCAATATTTTTTTTTAAACATGCATTAATTAATTTTTCACATTAAAATCAAAAACATGCATTTAGAAAATAGAGAGGGTGAATTTTTGTTTCGTGCTGACTTTAGTATACCTGTGATGTTTGATCATAGATACATTGCAGAACTGTTTTACTAGATACTATATGTGATATGTAACACACGGATGTTTATGAATAAGGTACGAGTAAATATCCATTAACAGCTAACAGCCAACTCCTACAGCATAGTGATCATGTATTAGATTTGATTCACCTTCTTGAGTGTCCGGTAGGCGTGTCTCATGTGACCCTGTGTCATCTCCACTCCACCAATCAGCTGCAGCGTTTCTGCCACTTCTGCACTCAGTTCACCAAACGTGCTCTTCTTAAGGGACAGAGACTCTCTTTGGATGTCAGCGCAGCTCTGAAAAACAAAAACAACAAACACTCTTTACAAAGACAGTCTTTCGGTATAAGAGATAACCCCAACTTAACCACCATAAATATGACATGTCTCCTCCAAAATTCTGAATAATGATGAATTATGTTGAAAACAGCTGTGCTGCTTACAAAAAAAAAAAAGTGACATTTTTTTCAGTATTTGATGAATAGAACATTCAATTTAATGCATCCTTGATATATATATATATATATATATAAAAATATACATATACTATATACCATACTAAATGCTATATATAGTATATAGTGATATATACTTTATAGCAAATCCCACTTGTCTGATTTTAAACTTCTTTGCAAAATTTACACAGTAATTATATTATCACCCAGCTCTAATCTGCTAAATGCTACTATTAAGCATGAAGATATTAAGATATTGTGTAAAGCTGCTTTCAAACAGTGTATTGTAAAAAGTGCTACTCAAATACATTTGACCTGACTTACTGACCCTAACCTTTAAATGATATATAGCCTATAGTTAAAATATGAAGATCCATATCTTTTCCGTAATCTACACCACATTCAGATGAATTTGAAGCTGACCTCCTGTTGTCCCGTGAGTAGGAGGAAATGACTGAAGTCATCTTGGGCAGATAGGGTGAGTGTGTCCTGTGGGCCTAGTGCACTTCTATATGCACTTATACACTCCTCAAAAAAGTGTGCAGCTGAATCTATTGAAACGGGAAAAGAGATTCACATAATTACACTTCCCCCACTTCCCCTTGAAGAGCTACTCCAGTAATTTAGTTTATTAGCTGAGGGTCACCTTCAAGTCTTTACTGCTGTACTTGTTATGCAGGGCAGCTAAAACATAAGCTCTGCTTAATATGTACAGGCTGCTAAACACTTAGATACAGTGTGATCCACACGATTCACTTCAACGACAAACTCCAAACGTTACATCAGATTTAAAGCAGGGATTCCCAACCACGTTCCTGGAGCCCCCCTAACACTGCACATTTTAAATGTCTCCTTTGTCTAACACACCCATTTCAGGTCTTGGAGTCTCTACTTATGAACTGATGAACTGAATCAGGTGTGTTTGTTTGAGGAGACATGAAAAATGTGCAGTGTTAGGGGGGCTCCAGGAACGTGGTTGGGAACCCCTGATCTAAAGCAGTGTTTCTCAAACATGTCCTGGGGACAACCCCACCACTGCACATTTTGTAGATCTCGCTAATCTAACACACCCGATTCGACTCAGCTCGTTAGTAAAGACTGCAATACTTGGGCTACGTCTACATTAATCTGGATACATTTGAAAACAGCGTTTTAGCTGCAAAATGCTCCCGGTTCAACACTAGCGTTTTCAATCATTTTCCAAATGTTGCTCAACCACACCGAAACATCTGAAAATGCTTAAATCTCCTCACTGCGCATGCATACAACGTAATAAAAGCTCACGAGATGATACCGAGAGAGCAGACATTTAAAAGTTCTCCCTTCTGGCGTGATCTTTTTATTAGCAAAATATCTCACCAATCATAGTAGCGTCCAGGTTGCACACAAAATCGTATAGTGTAAATGCAATTTGTCATCATGTTTTCCTGCAGGACACTAATTGCGAGTTAATTTTCTGTCATCTTTGCAGGAGTGTAATATGAAGGTTCGACAAAGGAACTTTTATCTTTAGCAACACTATGAAAGTAAATAGCAGGCACAACAATGCCGGTATAACCATAGATATCATTGGTACAATATGCGTCACATGACTAAACGTGTCTTTGATTTCAAATGCCTCCATTTCCACAGTCCACAACAAAGCGAAAACTGTGTTGTTGTTTTTTTATTTTAAAAAAAAGCTCTGTCTTCGTTAACTAAAACGCCGTCTCAGTGTGGACGGAAGACTAAAACGAAGAAAAAAACAAAAAACTTTCGCTTTCAAATGAAAACTTATTAGTGTGGACAAGGCCTTGAATTGGGTGTCTGATGAGGGAGACATCCAAAATGTTCAGTGGTGGGGGGTCCCCAGGACAGGTTGTAGAAGGACTGATCTAAAGGACAGAATGACTTTTTGATCATATTACATATTTCCTCAAATTTCTACTATACTATTGACTTCATAACACATCTCATAATTTCTGTGTGATGCTCAGGGCCTAATTAAATACCCCGTTCAGATGGACTATTGTGAGTGCATTCTGTTACCGTTGTGATGAGGCTCTGAAGTGGAAGAATAGGCCAGAGCCAAGCTGTGAGCGATCTGGGCCCCTTCCAGACCCCCGGGACTCTGACTAAGAGCAATGGAATGAGCCTGCAGAAGAGGGAGAGAGAGATACAGAGACTTGAATACAGATATATCACATATCAGACCCACCCTGAAGCAAAGGAAACATTAATCATTTCAGGCTTTAAATAATTCTGTGGTCCAGTTTTAAAAACCATTAGACAGAGGATGTCAAAAACACAACCCATGGTCCAAATATGGCTTGTTGAGGATGCAATCTGAACCCATGAGATGATTGGAGGAAAATAATAATAAAATAACATTCCAGTCCATTTATTGTATTGATATGAAATATTCATAATATTCTATGTTTATATGTTGCAAATTGCATAAAGTGGTACAGACTTTTGTTTAGTCTTTTTTTCGTTCTAACTTTGTATTAATGTTTGGTTTCAGGTGGCTTATTAGAGTTATCCAGTCAGCTCTTTTTTAATTAATTTTTCCTAATTACTCATGTCATACACTATGTTCAGTTTGGGTGCGGTAATTTTTTTAAATGTTTTTTTTTAAAGAAGTCTTGTATGCTCAATTTTAAATAACTTTTTTCTATTTTAATATATTTTAAAATGTAATGTATTCCTTTTATGTCAAAAACTGAATTTTCAGCATCATTTACTCCAGTCTTCAGTGTCACATGATCCTTCAGAAACCATTCTAATGTGCTGATTTGCTGCTCAAGAAACATTTATTATTTTCAATGTTGAAAACAGTCCCATACTACATAGGATTTTAACTTTTGATCAGTTAAATTCATCCTTACTGAATAAAAGTATTAATTCATTTTAAAAAAAAAGTTACTGACCACAAACCGGCCTCTGGTTAGTAGTAAACTACATATGCTTTCTTTATTTCTTTTACCTCAATATTGGTGATTAAAGCAGGATAAAGTTAATTATGGAGCATGTATTAATACACCAAAACGGGTTCCTCTCCTCTGCTTTAATATGAGTTGGAATCTAAGGAATTTACCTGTAGGAGATGCTCAATGGCTCTATCCAGATGTCCCTGTGCCTGTTCAATGGCTGCCATATTTCTGTAAACAAAGCAGATCCGACTGAGCTGAGCTCCTTCCTGAAGCAGCTCCAAGGCTCTTTCACATTGACTGAGGGCCTTCTCAGGCCTTCCCTGCCGCTGGTACACCCTATACAACACACCACATGCACACAGACACAAAGATGTCATTTATCATGAAATCAATCCACAATGTCACATACAGCACACTGTTGACCTTACTTGTGCATGCCATCATAATAAGAATGGCTCGTCTGTAATGCCAGTCATGGGCAAAAATACCAAAACAATGAAAGGACGAAGGTCGAGAAAAGGGAGTCCTGTTCAATGCAAACTGGTTAAAAACCAGAAGAACTGCTGTGTATTGCATATGACGGTGGTACTAGCTCTGAACCTTTAAAGGGCGTCCGTTTCTTTTATTAATATGTGGAGTGCCGTAAATCCAAACATTCCCTGCAGCGCTGAACTCAATTCACAAGAGCTCATGTCTTTATTAGGTCTGATTCTCCACTCTCAATATCAGCCTGGGGGCATTCGGTCTAGCTCCTGAGCAATGCACAGAAAACTGACTCACTGCTGTCTGCTATCTGTGTAGAAATGAAGTACAGAAGAGTCAATGCTGTTCTATAAAAAGTATTCAGACACAAAGTCTGTAAGATTTTTCCAGAAAGAAATCTCTTATGCTCACCAAGGCTGCATTTATTTGACCAAAATACAGTAAAAACATTAATATTGTGAAATATTATTTTAACCTAAAATAACTGTTTTCTAATTTATTATGTTTTAAAATGCAATTTATTCCTTTCATGGCAAAGCTGAATTTTCAGCATCATTACTCCATTCTTCAGTGTCACACGATCCTTCAGAAATCATTCTAATTTGATTTGGTGCTCCAGAAACACTTCTTCTTATCAACGTTGAAAACAGTTGTGCTGCTTAAACTTTTTGTGGAATCCGTGATATTTTTTCCCCCAGGAGGCTTTGATTAACAGAAAGACGAAATAACAGCATTTATTTCAAATAGATATCTTTTTTAACATTATAAAAGTCTTCACTGCCATTTTTTTACTGTCAAAAAAACGTATTTTGTTACTTTGTAACTTATATTTATTTTAAAAATAGATTAAAATGCTAAAGGTTTCTGTTAAGGGTTAAATGTAAAAATAAAAATTGGATTCAATTGGATCTCAACTATACCATGATGCTTCTCTCTGATGTGGGCAGGTGTGTAACACTGGGCTAAATGGAGACATCTATCACCACAGGGAGATGCCATATTTCACCAATCCATCTTGTTAAAAGCCTTGAGCTTTTCCAGAGTCATCCACTCTAATGGATCACTAACTCAATTTCCCCATCTCAGAGGGAATAGCCTGCTCATGCAGCATCCTTGTTCCATCAATACAAGGCTAGTAAAAAAAAAAAAGTTGCATCACAAACAAAGGTTATAGTTGATAAGTGCATATCCCATGATGCAACTCTAAATTAGCAAGTGGAATTTTACCAGAGATGGTTGACATTACACATAATCTGTCAGTATTCACCCATATCTGCGTAATTTGATGATGGAGCTGTAAACATGTCTTATCTTAAATCTTCGGTTTATATTTTAAGAGTGTAACAGATTTTATTTAAATGAAATCATAAGCTCTTAATCGGAATGTCCAATTGGATTTACTGCAATCAGTGAAAAACGCTCAAGGGCAACATTTGCAAAATGGCAAAGATTTTGAACACGACTCCACCAAGGTTTCCCTATAGTAGTCTGTGTGTACGCTGGAGCACCCTGGCAACTTTTCAGGGCTGCATCAGAAATTCCAGACTATGGGCCTCCTTTTAGGGGCAGTGGGACATGCAGCGCTGCCTGGGGACACAAACCTAAACACGTCCTGTATTATGCCACGCAGTGCCAGCATAATACCAGCCATCCTCTCAGGCATCCTCTGTGGGAGGAGAGATATAATCTGCGAGGAGAAATCTGATTTAATGTCCGTTGTGCAGGGGCGTAATGCAATTAGGGATTTTTACATGAACTGCCAAGTAGTCCCCCAAGCCTTCTGCTTAGTAATTGTTAACAGACCAATATTGACGTAGACTATGTTTGAAAGAATTCAGGCTTGATAGAGAGTAGTGCCAGAAAAAGGGGGGGGGGGGGGGGGGGGGAACAGACACAGAGCAACAGAAAATACATCGTTGCCTTTAAAACAAAAAAGAAACACTGATTACTTCAGACTGTTATAACAGCACTCCAAGTTTAGTCTCCAGTCAAGTTTAACTCAGCTTAAAGGTAGGGTAGGCAAAGTTGTTCACAAAACCTTCTGTTATAGAAGTCATCTAAAAAACATTTTAAAATGTTCATTTATATTCTGTGGACCTAAAAATGTTTCGTCCAATCATTGCATTCGGTCCGAATGTAATAATAGGGTGTCTTACCTGCCTGTCAACCTGTATTTGCATACCTCCGCGCACCCTGCTCGCGCAGACCTCACACGTCATCATCAGCGTGTTTCATGAGGCTATGCAGAGTTGTAGACAGACATTCACCGAGTGCCGCGAACAAACAGCAGCCGCCATTTACAGTTCCTCCTGAACCAAAACAATAAGCTTATGCTGCAGTCACGCCATCACTACCGTAATTATGAGATGGCAACCCATGGCGTTCTACTCTGAGCTAGTCAACGCTGAAATTAATCTGCAGCAGTCAGGTGGTACAACAAGTCAGAGCTCTGGAAGTTGTTTACGTTCATTATTATTGTAATGTTATGTGCTTTGAGGTGATTTAACGCCATCCGTTTGTAATGTTTTACAGACTGCTCTGGCTGTGCACGCGCGTTCATGTGTTTTGGGGGAGGCGTGGCGGAGGAGGGGGTGGGAAGATCTTATGACTTCAAAGCTAGCTTGCTATCGCTAACCTCTCTGAAATTGCCTATCCTATCTTTAATTTACAAGACAACCAAAGAAAACAGAGAAGTGGTTTAAAGGGGTATGTTTGATATATGTGCATCTCACTGCAACCGTTGGATGTAATAAATTTACCTATCAGGGTCATAAGTTTGCCTCTAGTTTTAAGAGGCAAATAATGCTGAAATGATGAAGTAGGCCTAGGCTTTGGAAATCTAACATAAAGGTAAAAGAATGAGTCTTGTGGCTCATTGAATTGCTAAATGCGTTGCCTTGACAAGAATCTTCAAATTCAATAGACTGCCTGTTACTCATTGAGTGAACAAAACTATTTCAGTTCTTAGTTAACTGGTTGCAGAAGAAAAATACAGGGTGAACTATCCCTTTAAAACAGTCTTTTTTTTCTTTAGGACGCAGGTTTTCTACCAGCCATCAAGTGGATGTTAAGTGGATGGAAAAAATGACACACTTAACCTTTTAAGCTTTTCTTAGTTCACAGGCTTAGAGTGTTAAAGTTAAACTTAAAGACATAGGAGGAACAAACTTCTCTTTTGAGTTCTCTCAAGGCAAAAATCCCAACCAGCAAGTCACGAACAAGGGCTGATGTAAATATGTGCAGAGATTCATGTCAGATATGCTGACTGATGTTCGTTCGCTCTTTGACTCCATCCGGATGAAAAAGCTGTAAGCGTGTGTCATTGTTTCTGGGTTTTGTGGTGGTATGTGTTGATAGTGCAGGCTCGCTCATTTCAAATATGTTAACACTAGCTTTACAGTCAAAGGCAGAAGAATTATAAAGCTTTCATCACAATTCGCATATGCACATTCTTCCGGGACCATGAAACCAGCTGACAAACTGATGAAAACACAACCTGCTAAGGGTAGTAGAAAAAAAATCCTGGACATCATAATATAAATACATAATAAATGAGCTTTACTACAAAGCAGTTTATATTCTCTCACACATTAGCCCTTACTCGCATAACAAAGAGCAGCAATAATAAAACCTGAGAGGGCCCAGGGAGATACTGTCGCTCTGCACTCACAACATAAACACAGCTGGCAGACAAACCACAGTCGTTCATTGTCACAGTCAAGCTTGGTGAGACCAGCCATAATAAACACTGGGATCAATACAAGCTATTGAACAAGTTAATCAAGTCCTCCTGTGGGAACTATTCCCCCCTGAGAAACAAAAGATCTTTGAATACCAAATAAAAATAATTTAATGTGAATAAAGTAGACCTGCTGAATTTCTGAATAGTAAATCCTTTGCTTTATGTATGGTTAATAAACTGATGCAAGTGACTTTTTTTGCATGGCGGATTTTCATGTAGTTAACTCTCATGAGAAATGAGAGTTAACTATATACTATACAGTATTATACTACAATACTATCCTATTAACTATATACTCATCTGTATACTATACAGATGATTTTCTACTCTGCTCTGAATGTGGCCAACCTGGAGACATTCATATTAAATGTGTGAGCTTCACAGGCACTTGACGATATGATAATAAAAGATAAAAACATAATTCTGTTTCTATTCGTCCTTCACAAGCAGTGGCCAAAGTGAATTTTATCATAAAGCTTCAATTCTGTTGTGGATGAGGAGCACCACCTTGTGGTGAAAAAGATACTTTTACAGTTGATATTAGCTTGAGGTCCTAAAGCACAGGAGGGCCAAAGCCCTTAAAAAGTGTGAATATCTTTGTGTGAATATCAATGTGGACTCGGCTGCCATGTCATATTTCAGGCCTGTATACAATTTCATGTGTTTATTATGCCATAAACAGACTGGGAAAATTGATTAAGTCATTTCTAAGGGTAATTATTTCAAAATAAATCACTCTTCTCCTAGTCCTAGACTTTAACAATTATGCAGAGATATATTTAAAAGGAAGGCAAAGACCTCAGCACTTCTCTAAAAATGGGGCAGGAATTTATACTAGTCATTTAGAGTTGGATTTTGTCTCTCTTGTTAGTCCAGCCATGTCATTACAGTCAGCCATTACAACAATTAAAATGAGATTAAATTAAGATTAAAATGGTCCCATACCTTGCTAAATTTGTAAATATTTCATACTCAGTGTCCACTCTGTCCTCCTTTCCCATGGCTTCATGTGCTACAATGTCTCCCGTGACTATCTCTGCCTTCTGAAAGCTTGACTCAGCCTCTGCTAAGGTTCACATAGTTAAGAACTCATCAATGGTAAATTAACAAATTACTATCATTAGTACAAAAATATATAGTGTCCCTAAAAAGGATTTGAACACTTAAGATGCACTATGTATACGACGGCATTAGATTTTTGTAAACAAGGATATTTTCCAAGCACTAGAGCAGCACTTCCAAGAGTCAGGTGTATGGTAAGGAAGCAGTTGAGGCAGCTCACTCTCTCCTCCTGCTGGCTGGAACTGAGTACTTCAAGTGCTTGGGACGCATGTTCTTGTGTCTGATGTGCCCAGCCTGGGAAACAGGAGGTCATATACTGTCAGGAGATGGTTAACGTATTAGAAATGGCTGTCAAAGAAATCAATTTGCATGATTCACAGTCAATGCAGGGTTTATTTTTCAATAATAACAAGCTCGCTGTATGTTATTCTTTCTTCTATCTGTTTAAATGCATTAAATAATGAACAATTTTACCTTTGTATTGCAAATAGGCTTTAGCCAGTCTTGACTGGGCTTGGGCCACTGCAAAATGCTCATTTCCATAAACCAGTCTGGTCAGTGCAAGGCAACGCACAAGCTCCTGGATACAGAGGTCATGCTGCAAAGTTCAAACAACCATAAAACATTAAACTAGAGGAATTATAAAAATAAATAATTAAATACAATGATCAGTAATTGTTGATGTACTGGAGATTAAGATTATGCCCGGTGTGCTTTATGACAGGGGTTTTCAAACTGGGGTCCAGGGCCCCCATGGGGACCACAGGGAAGTGCTAGGGAGTCTGTGGATATGTTTAGAGGAAAACAGTGTAAAAAATGTTTAAATAAATAAAAGGATATTAAAATAAATATAAAATGCATATTTGATATACATTAATAAAAAAAGTAACAAATAATAGATTAAAATAAAAAATATATATAAATAAATGAATAGATTAAAATAAATAATACAAATGAGATAAAAATAAACAAATAAGTAATACATAAAATAAGTCTCTCTCAAGAAAATGGTCGTATATGGGGGACCATAGCATCTAAAAGTTTGAAAACCCCTGCTTTATGTAATGATAATAGATCATACTGAAATGTGGGGCACTGGTAAGGTTACATGATAGGGACATTACAAAATTAGAGTGTGAGATATGTATTTCGGAGTATAAGATTATTCCATGTGTACCTCTTCACTATCAGCCAAGGACTGAGCTCGTCTCTCACAAAGTGATAGTTTCTCTGCAGGATTCATCTTACTATAATTCTTCACATCTTCTTTCTGTGAGATTATTGTTGAATCTGCATCCTTCAAGGATTCTCCTGAACTGCAACTGCTGCTCATGTTGAAGCTGGTGAATCTGTAAAAGTTTAGAGCTTGGTTGTGTCTCTAAATATAATTAACTGGCTAGCAGTGCAGGTAAGTTAAGGCAGGTTACTAGGTTTTGAACATCCCTCTTTGGGTGCATGGCAAAGAGATGCACTGGAAGTGATAGTCTGTCTCTGATATTCTGTCTAACAATTTATTTTGTTTTAGGTTTTAAACAACATTAAGGTACGGTATTTTTCCTTTTTGGGTGAACTATCTCTTTAACAGCGACAGGAAAATGGATACATACGATTCATCCAGCGCAGTCACAGGACATCTCTGCTGTGGTACACGAAACAATCCGCTGTGCGGTGCCAGGCTCATTTTAATGGAGAAGGCAAATAAAACTCAGCTGTTATTTTATGAGCTGACATTTGATTAATAATAAGTTCTCTTGACATCAGTTTTGAAAAGACTGCAATGGTCTTTTCAAATACACTAAACGTAGAGCTGTGCAACCAAGTAACGAATATCACGAAAACCCAAACAATCGCTGTGATTGGTTGACTCCTACACATGGGTGAGTCATGTGACTCTCAATCTCTCGTTGCATTTAAACCGATTTAAACGTAAAATCGACCCATGCAGTTTACTGTATGTTCTTATGATTTAAAAAAAAAAAAATCTTATGATTTCAGTATATTTTAATTAAATTTTGCCACAAAATAAAAACCTTCTTTATACTTTTGTGGCAGTAAAATAATTTTTTACCAAACTGAGCAATGCACATGTGCGTGTAAGAAAAAGTGTTTGTAATTTCTGATAGCCTAGAATAGAATATAATCCATAGGATTTTAACGTAATTGAACGAACTGATTAAAATGCTTTGTTTTGCAAAGCATGAAAAACACTGCTCTTCTGATGAAAAACACTACCCATAATCCTAAAGTGAGAATAGAGACCAACTCGAGAGGTCTTATTATTTTTTTTACCATGGAAATGGGAATTGTGGCAATAGCAGTTCCCACTCCCCGATGTTATTCTAATTCAACGATCTTAAATATTCGTTTATATTGTAGAATAAGATTTCTAATGCATTCATAGCACTTTTGTCAATAACATAGTCAATAGTCAATATTTTTATAGAAAGTTGTCAACCGAGGGGCGCCGCAACCTGTGATGGATAATGCATCCTGACCAGTTACCCATTTTTTTCTATGATGAGAATAAAGAGAAATTGCACATTCAAATCTGTGTCTGCAGCAGATTTTATTTCACAGATTTATTACAGGTTAAATAAATTATTAAATTGATTTTTAATGGGATTGTTTTCCCCACAATAAACTAAGGCCTCAGACATTGCAGAGTGTATCTATTGTAAATGGTTATCTATTTAGATAAACGCACTCTCATTATGATCATAAGCCCACATTATGTTGTAAGTAGCTGACAGAATGCATTGCATTATAGACAGCTTTTCATACTTACGAAAGCAATAACACCAGGAATCAAATTACTTTCTGTGAGTAGCATTCAGTAGTCTTGAGGGTTTGATACCACTTAATTTTTTATTTAAAGACAGTGAGCAATATATCTAAGGTATTATAATGAAAGCCAGTCTAACATTAAAGATCAAATCTGATACATGCAAAGTAGGCTAATATGCAATTTCCCCCTCAATTTAGTGTAATTTAGTACAGCGAAAGAGGGAAAGCGGGGGCTAGAAGGCAGTAATGTCAAAACCATTTGGCCTTAGCCAGATATAAATTTAACAAAAAAAAAAAAAAAAGATGGAATGACCCCTACTGGTTTTCACTGAGAGAACTATGAACTACATAAATTACATTCCAAATAGTTCTTGTCCTTTCAGTCACATGAATAATCATCATAATCCGAAATCCGTGTCCTTGTTTTTTTTGGTCCCCATGAGGAAACAGCTTACAGAATTATGTTTTTGAAAATGTAAAAATGCAGAACGTTCTCTGTGATGGTTTAACATGTATTCATTTAGCAGATGCTTTTGTCCAAAGTGACTTACAAATGAGGAGAACAATAGAAGCATTTGAACCAACAAAAAAGCAACAACAGATATACAGTATATCTGTTTCTTGAAAATGGCTATAGACTGCTCGGGTTCAGTTTGGCAGGTCATTCTAGCAGGGAACAATCAAGGTAAAGGTCCGTGAAAGTGATTTTGAGTCTCTTTGGGATGGCACCACAAGGCACCGTTCACTTGCAGGAACGCAAGCTTCTGGATGGCACATAATAAGTGTGAATTATAGTGAGTTTAGGTAGGGGTCCAGTGCCAGTGGTTGTTAGGCAAACATCAGCTCCTTGAATTTGATGCTATTGGCAGCCAGTGCAAATTGATGAAAAGAGATGTCGCATTCTGGATCAGTTACTGTCCATGCTAGAAGGTCTGCCAAGAGACCATTACAATAGTCTAGCCTGGATAGGATAGGCCTATTGGTCTTTGAAGATTAGCTGATCATCAATTTGCTGTCCTGGAAGGAGTTATGGTTGATGAGCCGATAGCTGAATGGAGAAGATTTGATGAAATGTTGGGTTGGCCGAAACCACAAGTAGTCTTGGTAAGTTTGAGTTGAATTAAATGTGATGATCCTTCATCCAGCATAAAACATGGAAATGTGTGTGTGTGTGTGTGTGTGTGTGTGTGTGTGTTTGTAGAAATGCTTCTTGAATCTTCAGGAACAGGTAAACATTGATCCCATACCATACCCTTTTTAAAAATATATATATTTTAATTATAATAATCATAAAACTGAATGTTTACCTTTTAAAGTTATATTTAGCATCATTGCACTAACTTTATTCTTTTTATCTTGCTTCAATTTGGATTTTCTGTCCTGTCATGACTTTCTCATCTTGAAATGACCATTGTTGACATTTTGACCCTCTTTGTCCAAATAATGAGTTAAAGAATGTAGGCCTAGTGGTAACTCAGAGAGGCATTATTCATTTCATCACCATTCCCTGTGTAATTTTGAGTAGTTTGCTATTATTTTCTCTCATCACCATTGTGGGCAGCACTCATAAAGTTATGTAATGAAGTGCAGTCTGCTTTACATTTGTGTTCACATGCTCCACACAAACACTAGGCTAATAACATTTGCACAAATGCACTATTGGGGGATTAACCATCAGTTTCCTTTTCATACCTTTTAACGTTTAACACGAAAAGGCCTAGCTGTTCAGTGAATTATTTCTCCCTTGAAATGTTACGTTCTAGGGGTATCAAAACATGTAATTTATTGAATTAAGCCTACATTTTAAACGACATCTTTATGCATGATGACTCAAAGGCATCTCATCATAACGTTAAGTTCCATTCATCATTATAATCTCTTTTCCACATCTTCATATACAAAATCAACTGGCGACAGAGAGGTTAACCCAAGCAGTGCAAAAATAGGATCGCGTTCATGTCACTCCCTGAAAAGCTGTAGGTTCACACCTCTTTTCAGGTTTACATCTGGACTGAGCTGCACAACCTGCGCCCCGTCAAAATCTAGTCCTCACCGGTCATCCACAGCCCTACTCAACGCATTTATAGCTGGAAGATGAATTATTGGCTCTCTGCGATTCTTTTGCAGCAGTGTAATAGTTAAATCAGTGCCGAATGCGTTATTTGATGTGGTGTGTGGTGCCTAAGCTTGAACAGTCCTCTACAGTGAGAAGATGGCGTCGGACGGAGCGAAAGGGGAGCAGCCACCTCCGCTACAAACACTGGTAACCACTGGCCATGGAAGCGTCGAGGCGGTGAGATACATTTACGCATAAAATGACATTGTCTGCCGCAATTAATGCTAATTATAACAGGCAATGAATGGTGCTAATAGAATAGGAATCGTCCTGTGCTGTGAATTAGAACTATCAGTGGATGCGTTACGGTGGTCCGTGTGTATGTGGAGGAGATTTAATTTTTCTTATTTTTTTTATTTTTTTTGCTGGGTACTTTGTTGTGCTTTCACATTTAGATCCTTTATCTGGGGCAGAGCACAATATTGTTTAAAGTACGATAATTATTCCTTATTGTTTCTGTGCAGCTGCGCGCGATTTGATACCTAAGCCTAGATTAAGATGGTTACCTTACAATTATTGAATAACAGTTAAGGTGCTATCTGTTTTGTCACGTTTCGAGATACCATTATAATTGAAATCGATTATCAACTGCTTTTTAGTATGGTTAATTGCACAATGTAATATTTAGAATCATTAATAATATAGATTGTATTCTTTACCTAATAATAATAATATTAATACACACGCACACACATATGTATATGTATATGTAAGTGTATATATATATATATATATATATATAAGAATAAAAAACTACCAAAAAACTATGGTTGCTATAGACCAAGGTAACCACAAATTAACCATGGTTTTGCTACACTAACCATGGCATTTGTAGTAAAACTGTGGTTATACAAATAGTAACCAATCTGCCAAAAAAAAAAAAAACATGGTTACTACACTTTTACTATAATAAAACCATGGTTAATTTGATGCATTGTGATTATAATGCTAATTTAATTTAATTAAGTTTCACACATTCTGATGACAAGTCAACATGTACTGTATAGATTAAAAAAATCAATATTACCCCTTGGAGAGATGCTATAGAGCCCTCCAGTACAGTTGCCTGAGGTTCTTCTTGCTCTCAAATGTATTGATCTGCATGCAGTGTCTTACGGTAAAGGGTGGTCTTTAGTTTCAGTAGTAAGATTTGTCATCATTTTACCATCCATCTTTATAAATTGATTTGCATGACAGAAAAAAAAAATACTTTAGAGTGCTATAGCCAGCAATATAGTTTATTGTTTAAGCAATGCATGGAGTCAAGTGGAACAGAAATGTAGTGAAAAGAGAGATGTAATGAAGCGGAGGCGGGTTGGGGATGGGGTGGGGGGTGTTCACTGGAGATGTTTCTAAATCGGTCTGAATTTTAGTGACTCAGCTGGCATAGTTCAGAGTACTGTGTCACCCACCGATCTGAGCTGCTTTAACTGCCCGAGGCCCCTTTACATTTAGAGGTTGGGTTGAACAGGTGCGCAGACTTCAGCGCTGCCCATTGGCCACTGGCGTTAAATCATAAATCTCTGTCTTGTGCATCTACCCAGACACCTTTCTCAAGGGCTACATACCCTTACAAAGGTATGTAAGGCCCATGTATGGTTTATTTGGGGGGAGCTTTGTTTATCAAGTTTTACTTGAGTGGTCTGACCCCATTCATTGCTAATATTGCTTAAGAACAAAATTGCCTTAATGGCTCTACATTGCATTCAAGCAGGGATTGTGTGCTCATGAGCATCTCCCACTGACCAGTATTGACTTTTTTTCTTCGACCTCAGCATACAAACTATTGCTTTATTTGTGGATTCTCACGATTGGCTGGGGTTGCAAGTCTTATCCAATTTCTCATTAATTTCTTCAAGAACAAACAATGAAAAACAAAGATGAT